CTTCTGGAAGCTCGCCATTGCCATCGGGTTCGTTTTGTGTGAGGTCCCGGGGGCAACGCCGAAAAATCCAGCTTCCGGGTTGATTGCATACAGACGCCCGTCAGCACCGAATTTCATCCACGCGATATCATCACCTGTAGCAACATAATGAATGAAATAAAATATTCTTCCAAATTTTACAATTACTTTGTCGCCATTTTGTAAGCCTTTTATAGGAGCTCACCGACAACGCGCACTTTCCATCCGGGTATGGCCGGCTCAAGCATTGCCAAATTCGTTTTACCGCACGCTGATGGGAATGCGGCACAAACGAAACGCTCCTTTCCCTGTGGGCTTGTGATACCCATAATCTGAAATCACCGACGAACGTGTAGGGTTCCTTTATACGGGCTTATGACTGATCAGAAAAAGAAAGACAAGGCCTTTGTGCCTCTCATTAGTATCTAAATGAAGAAATGACTTATTTCAGGGGCCAGTAGTATTACAAACTGCAACCAGAACTATGCGCAGCATGCAACAATGAGGGGCAAAATCGAAGCTCACGCGTACAGTGAAAAAGGCTTGTTGTGGAAAGACAGAAGCAATTATACTAAAAATGAAGCATCACTGATCTGGTCACTCGCTCACATACTCCTCAAAGTTGCTCAACTGTTCAAAATTTCAACATTTCAGTAATTACAGTAATTTTGCAAATTAGACGAAAAAAATCTCCTCGGCTTTACTTCAAATTCTGACTAAATCAGTATAGATAAAAAAAAAGCCTGGCACATCGGAAGAAAATTAATATTCGAGTATTTTTAGACTAAATTGGAAAATAAACTATTTTAGTAAAAAAAACTGGGTAAGGAGCAAGGAAGGGAAAAGACTTCAGACACAACACGTATTTTAAAAATGCTCAGTCGCTTCCCACTCACCATATTCAACGACAAGCTGTCTTGAAACCTTCGTCATTAATCTCTCTCTCTGTAAAGATAATAATCAGCAGCAACGTACAAGCATATGCTCGGCCATCCAGCCCTCATCGTAGCCGATGTTCATGGCAATACGAAGGGCGAAGCATTTTTTGCCCAAAAGTGAATTGCCACCATAGCCCGAACCGAACGACCAGATTTCGCGCTCAGCCGGACGGTGAGAGATGAGCGTCTTCTCCGGATTGCATGGCCAGTTGTTGATCACTTTCGCTGAAATCCAGCAATTGCTACCCAAGTTCTCCGACGATATCGTCGCAAAAATAGCGCATCGAAAAATTTAGGCCTCCTCCCCCCTCTCCCGCCTCCCCACCCCGCTTCTGTCAATCTGATGAACATCGGTAAATGCATGAAAGAGTAGTACTTTTAACAGGTCGTGGCTGTCCCACCGAATGGATGCAGCGCACAAAATCACCGCCTGATTTATGCAGTTCCTTCAACACTGGGTCACCCATTCGTGTCATTATTTTCATGCACAGCACCACGTACCTAAAATATGCGTTCATCTATTTTTATGACCATGTTAAGGTTATGCCGAAGGCAAACAGTGAAAAGCACCTACGTGGAATCGGTAAGTTCGATGCCAATTTTGGAGAGTGGACCGCCGACCGGGCCCATCGAAAACGGCACCACATACAGCGTACGCCCTGAAGTGCAATTTATCAATAAAAGTTATCGGAGCTGCCCGAACGGTAGCTGACACACACTTACCAGCCATGCAGCCCGGAAAACGGTCATCCAGTTCTTTGCCGAATTGCTCCGGCGACATCCACTGGCCCATGATCGTTTTCACTCCCTCCGGCGTGTGACAGACTGAGTCGTACTTCTCCGGTGTGACCATCCACGTTTTCGATTCAACACGGGCCACATCACGAGGATCGGTGCGACAGAGGTAGTTGTTCTCGTAGGCCTTCAGTGGCGTGAGCACACCTGTTTCCAGGCATTCGCCGATCAGCTCTTTGTATTCGCACTCCGAACCATCACAGATGTAGATTGCGCGCGGCTGCATCAGATCCGCTTTTTCGGCTACGAAATGCTTCACTTTCGCCGGCAAGCTGTCGAAATTACCCTTAAATTTGAGAGAAATTCATTAACCGACACATCAAGCTCTTTTTCCGATTTAAAAAAATGGTCTTAGGAGCGAGTCTTTGAAGCTTCACGGGTTCCAAACAACTAGAATTGCAGCAGCCTGGCGACTCGCTCCTTAAGGCTGCAATTCTAGCCGCTAGGAAGTGCAAGAAATCCACGCTAAAATCCACAGTAACTGGACTCAATGATCCCCCACAGTGGCTGATATTCTGAGGAATTTTTCGGAAAAAGAAAAGAGTAAATGAGTTGTTGCAATCAATGCTCAACGGATTAAAGCACAGAATGATCTCCAACAACAAACGCTGCATGCTTACCTTGATGATTGGGATTTTGTTCAGCTGATGGGTGACCACTTCGGTGAGGGTCTGCAAAAGAAAACTGCTTAAATTGAGTGAAAAAATGCCTGATGTTTTTATAGAATGCAGTGAAACTGACCCGAACTGACTCAGTATACTTGCCATAGGAAATAACAAAAGTGATCGAAAGGAAGCACTGTGTATAGCAGATTTTTTACGCGTTTTTTGCAGCTATGCAATGCAGAAGATGCATACTGACGAGGGGTTGTCTGTGTGTTCGTGTGTCTGTGTGTGCGTCTATCACGCACTTTCATCTCAAGACCTGTAAAAGCTGCGGGATTGAAACTTCGGGAACTTAATCTACATGCCCATGCCGGCCCCAACCCCCAAAATAGGCGCCAAAACTCGCGTGGTGTTCGCGTACGGGCCCGCCAAAGTTTTTTTGGGGCAAGTTCATAACTCAGGGATCTGAGAAGCTAGAGCGCTGAAATCTTAGGGGAATGTTCCCTGTCCAACTAGGTACTAGTGCACTCAAACCCATCACCCGGGTAAGCGTGATACCCGCGTGCGGGCCCACCAAAGTTTTTTTCGGGCAAGTTCGAAACTCGGGGATTTGAGAAGCTTGAGCTGAAAACTTAGGGGAATGTTCCCCGTCCAACTAGGTACTAGCGCACTGAAATCCATTACCCGGGTATGTGTGGCACTCGCGTACGGGCCCACCAAAGTTTTTTTTTCGGGCAAGTCCAAAACTCGGGGATTTGAGAAGCTCGAACGCTGAAAATTTAGGGGAATGTTCCCCGTCCAGCAGGGCATTAATGCGCTCAAACCCATCCCTCGGGTACGTGTGGTACCCGCGAACGGCCCCGTCAAAATTTTTTCGGGTAATTTCATAGCTCGGGGATCTGAGAAGCAACAGCGCTGAAATCTTAGGGGAATGTTCCCGTCCAACTAGGTATTAGTGCACTCAAACCCATCACCCGGGTAAGCCTGGTACCCGCGCACGTACCCGCCAAAATTTTTTTCGAGTAAGTTCATAACTCGGGGATCTCGGAGGCTAGAACGCTGAAATCTTACGGCAATGTTCCCCGTCAAAGTAGGTATTAACGAGTTCAAACCCTGTCAGCGGGTAAGCGTGGTACCTACGTACGGGCTCTTGAAAGTTTCTTCCGGGTAAGTTGCTAACTCAGGAAAGTGAAAAGTTAGAAGACTGGGATTTTGAAAGGATGTTTCCTGACAGTCCTGGCAGCCAGTCTGAAATTTTTTTAGCTAGAAGCAATCTGCCAGAAAAACCAGTGCCGTTAGCGGCAAAAATCTGCTGGGAGCTATGCAAAAAACGCATCTTCGCACGGGCAGCCTGTGCGTTAGCCAGTTACTTAAAATTTCTTGCAAATGTCCCGATCCTATCTTCCCAGTGAATTAAGACATTGCGCAGATCCTAGCCTTAACTTCCACGTATATTATTTTTATGCGTTTTGTGTTGTGTAACAGCTGTACAAAACGCATACTTTCAAGGAGTTGTGTGTGTGTGTGCCCTCCCCCCTCTCCCTCCTCCGCCCCCCACATTTTATCCCGCACTTTCAACTCGGGAACCACAAAAGCTAGGCGGCTGAAATTTTAGTATAGTGTTCTCCGCCAACGGGTGACGCGGCAAATTTAAATTCAGCCTTCCCGTATCCGCGGGTAACACATACGGCCCCGTAAAAGTTTTTCGGGTAAAATCAGTATCTCGGGAACCGCGGGAGGTAGCAGGCTGTAATTTTGTAAGCATGTCCATCGCCCAAGTACTACTCAGAAAATTTAAATTCAGCTTTCCCCTGCCCGCGAGTAACAAGTACGGCCCCGTGAAGATTTTTTACGGGTAAATTATTATCTCGGGAACCACGGGTTAGGAAGCTGAAATTTTACGGTAATGGCCCCTGCCCACGCTCAACCTTGCCTATTCAAATTCAGCGTTTCCGCGCTTTCGGCTATCATCTACGGGCTAATAAAGATTTTTGCGGGTAAATTATTATCTTGGGAACCACAAGGTCTGCAAAGCTGGAATTTTAGGGTAGTAACTCGCTGCCCACACTCAACCTTGCCTATTCAAATTCAGCTTCCCCGCCCTCTTGGGTGTCACCTACAACCTCGTGAAGATTTTGACGGGTAGACTATTAACTCGGGAATCACGGAAAGATATTTACCCTTCAGTGTCCCGAATTCAGCTTTTATGCACATGTGCGTGAAATTTCTAAACATTTTCCAGTGTTTCAATTATTTTTACATAGACTAAAGTACAAAGCAATGAAAATCATTGATAGGAAATCGTTCGATGGGGTCAACCTCACAAAACGCATGATCGCACCGGCTAGTCTGGTGCGCGTTGCTATTTATTTGTACTTTCAGATGCTCTTGTTAGGTACCAAATTTTATCGGTAACATCGAAAGTGGTGAATCTCTGCACTGCACGAGCAGACGCTGCCGCATGCGCCATAATTGGTCGCCATAATTATCTCGCACCAAACACTCATTCTGGCAATGAATAACCTCTCCGATATTCGAATGCCGTTCGTTGCTTATCGAAACTTCTTTTAGATTTCTTACGGCACTTGGAAAAACCTCTGCCAACAGCAATCATCTGCTAGCAGAGAAGTTGTCTGTGGCTCACTCTTCAAAAAACGCCCATCGGTTGACGGCAAGGCAAGCAATATGGCCTGCCATTGGCGGATCCAAGGGAGGAGGGTGATGAGCTGGTTTACTGCATAAAATTCTCTTCGATACTCCCAGTCGCCCCCTTTCTTCCCCGCTCCCCACCTCCCCTCAGTCGTCGCTGTAGTTCAGGACCGACCGGTGGCAGGGAAAATTGACAGAATCACTCCTCCCCCTCCAAGAGTCGCTCTGGACCCGCCTATGTGCCCCGCCTATCGGATTTTATCTTTTCATGTGGGTGTAAATGTAAGTGGGAGTCGGATTTCCATTCTTTTTCTGCTGCCACATTAAGCCATACAAATCGGATTTAAATTTCCCTGGTCAGCAGCGACCAAAACTTGCCTAATTCTAGCACCGGATAACCTGTAGGCTATCGCATATCATAATTTCTCTTCCC